GGGGCCATGCCCACGGGAACACCTTGCTCCCTGTCCTGCGCTTCTCCCTGCCCATGCCACCTCCTCTCCTGGCTCTCTATGCCACTCCTGCTCGGGCTGAGCAGAAACCCACAGGACTGAACCCTGGAGGTATCCGGGGTGCAGCCAGCACCCCTAAAGCTCTGCAGATTTGGGGTGCCTGAGCTGCAGCCAGCCCCCCTAAAGCTTTGCAGATTTGTGATGCCTGGTCTGCAGCCAGCCCCCCTAAAGCTTTGCAGATTTGGGGTGCCCGCAGCCTTTGCACACCCATCTCCCACCTCCCCCATTACTCTCTAATACTTGTGGGTACTCAGAAGGGCAACAGGATCTGTAACCTCCTTCAGTACCACTGAAAAACACCGTGCCCTGTGAGAAAGGGGCAGGATACTAACTCCGTTACCTCACGGACGTTTTGCAAACGGGCTGGGCTGCCCCCAGACCCAGGCACCGGTGGGAAGGTTCGTCGAGAGACCACGGCACTGAGAAGGTCAGGGTGCTCCCTCACTCCTGGCCATCTTCCCTGTGTTGACAGGCCCTCAGACAACCCGGGGCGTTCCCCAGCCTGCCCCAGAGGTTATTAAAGTGTGGGTTCGCTCCAGGAACCGGAAGGCTCCAAATGCTTCCTGCAAGAGCCACAGGGCGCAAAGGGAGGGGAGGGCAAGGGGAGAGGGGGGAAGCAGCACTCTCCCATCCCTCAAGTGCCCCTCTCCTCACCTGGCTTTTCCGTGTCCAGCACTTCATCCCCCTGGCACACAGACACCCTCCTTTCCAGGAAACTTCACGGACATCTACTACCAACAGCCCAGCCTGTGCGGAGAGACCTGCCTGGCTGGAGTCAGGGGAGGAGGAGGAGGAGGGAAGGAGGATGCACTGCGAGAGCAGGAAACCTTTCGACACCCCCATCCCATCTTTGCAAGCAAAAGCCGAGCCCTACCTTGCAGCCGCCCGGTGCTCCCTGTAGGCTGACTGTGGTCTGCAGGGAACGTGAACCTGCCCCCAGCAACAAACTTCACGGAAAACAAACTCTCCCCATGCAGGACTGAGCAGCTGGGGCTTGGCATGTGGGCATGGAGCAGGCCAGGCCTGTG